TAACGTGCACCAAAATTTGAGCACACGGGCCTACAACATTTTCGCCTCCATCGGAAATGCAGCCGCCGCAGCCGGGATTTGAACCCGCGCCCTGCGGGTCAGCAGCCGAGTACCTTAGCCACTAGACCACCGCGGCGGGGCAACTGCCGAGAAGTTAGCTCATTGAAACACATGCTCTGGCGATGCCCAGCATCGCAGGACTGCTGTCAAGAAGCCGCCTGTTAAACCACTGCGGTCAACGATCCCAGCTACGGCGTCCAGCTTCTGGCTGTCCGGAGGCCCCGTGAGAGGGCGGATATGCTCGGCCTCCCTGTACCGACATGGGTCTAATCAAGAGTTGGATGTATACGCAACTCATTCTCTTCCTTCCGGACCAAATAAATGTCTTATTTCGCTTTCTCTCTCAGGGCTCGATTTCACGCCACCGTTCTAATACGCAACACGTGGCGGTTTTGCAAATAAATGAGTTTATCCCAGCTGCCAACAATGACCACTCTCAGCCAATGCTTTGAGCCGCGGTTTCTGCAACCCACCACCGGTAACATAATTGTGAGCTTCCAAAGCCTAGTAGGACTTCAGCTGCTCTCGAGTTATGAAGCTTGTTGCGTGTACGAAGTAATTCTTGATGTCTGTGAAGTCTACACGTGGCAAAAAATTCACGTCACTCTCCACCTCTGCTTTGTTCAAGTTAAGGGGGTCAACACCGCCACACAGCCGCACCTTTTCTTCGTACTTGTTGCGTGGACGAGGTAATCTTTGATGTCTGTGAAATCTACACGCCGCAAAAGACGCATGTCGCACTCCACCTCTAGTTTGTTGAAGTCAAGGGGGTCAACACCGCCACACAGACGCACCTTTTCCTCGTAGCACGACTTTTCAGGCTTTGTCAGTCCACGCACTTAAGCGTTTAACCGCATTCTAATAAAAGCAAGTCTTCAGAAAACCTTAATGAGCCATCTCCTTGAGAAAAATGTCAAAACAACAAGCAAAACTATGTTTTTCTGTTGTAGTACTACGATGGCGTCTGCTCCCGAGACCCCGGGTATGGCGACTGTCGCACCAACCACTAGCGCCCCTTGCGGATGAAATCATGTGAATACCTCCTATAGTAAGTCTGCCTCAGCAGGATCCTTTCCGCTAACATGGTCGTTAAATGCTGGCCTAATAGGACGTTACGTGCCTGGCCTCACTGGCATAGCCAAAGGGTTCAACTCCCTCCTTCCTCCGATATTAAAATAAAAATGTGTGTACATGTACAACACAAATACAAACATATGCACGAGCCTGCGAAGCTTTCCCCGAGAAAATTTCTGGCTATGTCGCTTAACACACGAGACCTGACGATCCTCTTTTAAAGACGATAGCCTTTCTTGGGGACCTTCGACAGAAAAATCTTGGCCTGTCTGTACATTTGTCTGTTTGTCCGCCCAAACGATACCTCAAATGGTACCAAACGGCCAACCCCATCCGCAGCGCCCACCAATATTGCTCAAGGTTTAGCGTTCATAGTTGTGCGATTGTCAATTAAAAAACAAATATTGCGCATATCTGTGGCACCATAACAACATGTCTATGTTTTGTATGTCTGCCTTTATACTAGAAGAGGCACACACAATTAAGTAACTCTAAGGACTGTAGTGTTTAACGCGCTGCGCTGACAGTGCAACGCGATGCTCAAGAAGGTGTTTCCAACGCTTTGCTACGACGGCAAGGTGGTGGCGCCTGCCCGTCGCTTTGCATTCTACACCTTATCGCCTCTGAGACTGGCACGCATCTTTCTCCGCGGTCGCGCAGGCCTCCGTTTTCAAAGATAACTGCGAGATGGCGCTCGTGTCTAACATGCCTAGATGCGCTTGTTCGCCTCCGTTACACGCTCGAGGCACTCTAACGCAGCGCCTTCAGAATATCATTCAACGATTTTCTTGCGCAGAACATCAAATAAACGTTTTGTTCACTCTCTCCAGACGCAAGACTATAATCTTTCGACGACGTTTACTGTGTAACATGTAGATTCGGGCCAAGTTTTTCGTCTTGTTCTCTTTCAGAGACGTGATCTACACGCCTTGAGCTGGGGCGTGTAATATAGGCCACTGCACTACTACAGTGGGCACAGCACCAAAAGGCATATATTCACTATAATCATACCCAATTACTCTGCCACAGTGCCTCGAAAACTGAACTATGGAACTATCAAGCGGGCAGCGTATGCAGGACAGCCCTAGCTGGTGTCTCTCCCAATTTACTATCCTAACTTCTTAGTTAAACGTCGGTCTCTGCTGGGCTAATCGACAATGAAACAGCCCATGCATGTAGTCAAGTGGTTCCGAACGGAGCACGAGTTGGTCTAGTGGACGATGTATAAGACAATAGTGACCATTAACTTACAAAGGCTAACTACCTCATTTAGTCGTAATGGACGCACTCGCGTAATAAACGTACCCCCTACATTCACCGGCTGCAGTCCCGCTAACCGATACCTGGCACCTCTTTGCCCGTTGGGTCTCTTCCTTTTTTTAAAATTTTTATGCCGACCCCTCGGTTCGCTCCCCCCACTCTTCACCTACTGCAGCGCGCCATATTGTAGTCCTTTATATCTGTACACTGCGCATCCTGTCTTCTATTATCTGTGTGCAACAGCGTGGTTCACGGGCGGTGCGAGTGTACAGACGTTGCAGCGAGCGAAGCTCACGAACCTGCCCACGCCCACCGGCGAGGTCGCTTCCTGCAAATACAAAACTTAAGGGCCCAACCACATGCCCGTGATTTTCCAGCGACGACGACAGGATAGATTTGCTGTCGCCATGGCTGTCGTGAAGGGTCATTGGTCGCCATTGTGTCGCCGGTTTCTGGAAAACCAGAATAAAATCGCTTGTCACCCAGAAAATATTGAGACATTTTCCGCAACATGGTAGTACCCCCGATTCTCGAGTCGGTTGCAATTTGTTATCCCCGCGTACTTCAAGGAACGCAAGATATAAGCTAGCTTTTCTACATTAACTTCTCATGTGGACAACGAGGCGGCGGCTGTATTTCAACGCCAAAGTGTTTTATTCCGGGGTCCGTCGCGACTCCGCTGATGTACTCCCGTCACGGAAGTGACGTTGAAAAACATACTAAGAAATTCCAGAGAAAAAAAATCAGCATATCCACGGAGCGAATGCTGATGAGTGAGGCGAAGCTTCGGAGGATTTTATCGGTAAACCACGAATCCTCCCGTCTGCCTGCCTGTCCGTCCACACTAGCGCTACACGCTAGACCAGTCATAGAAGCAGCCGGCATTGTACCATGGTAGAGAGGCAAGCATGTACAGACCCACGGCCTTAGGAGCTTCGCCCCTACAGACCAGAACGCAAGCATTTGTCACGCGGAACCGAATCAGCAACTTCTCAAATCTCAGCGCGCGGCACTAGCCACTATGCCACAGAGCGTACGTTGGCTGAAGTGATAATTGGAAGTCATTTATATACACCGTACACCGTTTGGCAGTTCTTAGGGCTTAGAAACTTTAGCACGCTTTCGTTATCAGTGGCGAGAAGGCACGACGGGTTCGCTCTCAAGGTTTTCGCCTCCACAGAGCGTGGTCTTTCCTGCGCGCGCGCTTATCAGGCTTGGAGAAAGTCACTTCGCACGCTGCGCGGCCGCGTTTACGATCGGAGCGCGCTGCTGACACACGACACAGGAAGAATTGTGACTGCTGTTGTTTTGTGTATACTTGTACACTCGTTCGCGAGTCTTTCTTTCTGTTTGGACGGCGTGTTTTAAGTATCGCACTGCGACAGTTTTTGGTGTACGCTAACTTCATGCGTACTTTCTGCTCGAGGTGTGTGCTGCATATTTCGAGCTGCTTGCCATATTTAGCATGGATTATTCAGACTTGTTGCTGTTCTTGAAGCAAAGGGCAATAAACACTCAAATACCTCTGCAAAGGCATATCTTTTTCGTGCTGTAACGATTCCTACACAGGCGAATCAGCCACGTTTTGTCGTTGACCTTAATCTCGACGGTTTGTTCCGATGCCTCGGTGGTAGCTTGCTACAATGTCAACGGCGTCATCACGGTCGTCGTGCGAGGTTGCCGCAAAGTTGGCAAAGTGAGTCGTAGCGCAGCGCACGCTTCTGGGCGCACCTCGAGATCACAGCAGTTGTGGTTACGATTGCGAGAGATAGCCGCGAAACGCTTTATACAGCGTACGCGGGCTGCACGGAGCCAGCTTCCAAAAGATAGCGCCGTCAGTCACCGAAGACGAGTGAAGTGCAACAAAGAAATGTAGTCGACTAAGGTTGCACGGCGGGCTTGTTGGTTATTCATGTTGTTCGAGGTATAGCGCATCCAGGACGGGACAGAGAATGAGACACAGAACACCGTGTATGTGTTCTGTGCCTTCTTCTCCGTCCCGTCCTGGATACGCTATACCTCGAACAACATGCAACAAAGAAGCAGTTTCCCAACAGTGCACACGTGTGTCAATTGCGAAAGGCTAAGCCTAACTTTTTTTTGCATTATCTCATTTTTTGCTCATTCCAAAAAAAAATCTTTCATAAAATTTGCCCCCATAATGAACGCATTCCCAACTTTGCTCGAATTTTTCAAAAAAAAAAAAAACTGCGTTTTCATTACGCAAGTAAATACAGTACTTGCATATGACGACGCTTGGGCCAATAGTGCCTGTTCACCGAAGCCGCCGGCCCATGCAAGTCATCATGCATGTGGCATAAACTACGAACTCTGAACTTTTCTCTCGCCTCCGTTATGTCGTAATATGTACACAGCTATGTATCTTAGCTCAGGCTGCAAGTTTTGTACTGCTAACAGTGCAAACCTAAACCACTATATGAGGCAAAGTAAAGACTACTCACTAGTCGCAATCAAACGAATGCTTGAGGCCAACAAGCCAAGGTTCACATAGGTCATGCGCTAGCCTGTGCTAACATTATTGCCAAGCCTTGTTTCAATCACCCGCACGAATGCAGCGATGCAAAGAATACACACCAACGCTTATGTAATTTTTGATGTTTTATTACACTTTGTACGGTCTGCGGGGCCCGCCTGCACACAGTGCAAGCGTGAACAGAAATGAATTAAGCTCTGCAAGCTGGCAACTTGCCTCGGAACACACTAACATTAATCAGTCAATGTGCGAGCTTTCGAGTGCACAGCGAATATTGTATACTCGGTCACACAAGACACACTTTGGATATCGGTAGGGATCGAATGTTTCTATCGTAGGTGGCCTTTCTTTGGCAACATGCCAAGGAGGCAATTGCGACAGGAGAATTAGATCGCATCAGAAGTGCCCATGTGATGCCGGCATCAATAATGCCCTTAATGCTCAGAGTGCAAGTGGTAAGGACTGTCGGCCAAACAAGAGACTCCTGCGTATATAGTTTCATGCAGGCTCACTGAAAACAGGGCTATGTCACAGCGTGGAACGAGAGGAAAAAATTTTGCTGTGGGAATTGAAGACACTTTTGCAACCACAAGCGATTCACTACATGGCACGCATGGCAGACCAACAAGTAACGCATCCAGCATTGAACACACGAGCGAGCGTGTCGCCTGTCGAATGTTTTAACCAGAAAGCAAGTGAAGCAGTGTTGAGATGAACTGTGCAAGGCAGCCCGACAAAACTGCTCAAAATACTTGGTATGGCACAGCATGTTGTACACATTATTAAGCAGCAACAAATCATAGTATAAAAGAAAAGTAATCCACAAAGATGTCGCCAGAACACGGATAAACAACAGCATGAAGCAGTGCATGAACTTATGAGCATCAGTGTCCCCATATCAAGAACTCAGTCTGATAGACATGACTCCAAACATTTACAAAGACAAACATACACAAAAAGAATCGCAACATTTTTTTCACCCGTTCATCCCAAAACGGGAACTGAGATTCTAAGGTGGCAGGACATTTCGTTGAACTCATCTAAAAAAACACAACAGCGTCAAACATAACTGAAACACCACCATGAGAGTTTCAGGTAGCACAACCTTTTACAATCATTGTATTGAACTCCCTAAAAAAATTCACAAAGTTTGGCTTAATTGTCCATTTGTCAATAACCTAATTAACACATTAAAACGGTTGAACTTGCATTTCAGCCCAACAAAATTCGTGTCAAGCACTTTCAAACTACCTGTTCAAAAATAAAAAAGTTTTTTGTGATTACAAAGTGTAGCTATACTACATGGCCTACGGCTGTTCAGTAGATTTAGCTCGTGTATGACCTCATCATTCACGAGCCGTTATCTAGTGAACAGTATAGTACTCGTCGATGTCTCAGGCCATTAAGAGCTGACGGAAAGACTTTCATGTTACAAAAGTGTAATAGCGCACTTTTCAAGGCACAAGTGCAAGGCACAGTGGGCAAATCGGTGCCACGACGATGAGAGCAGAGGTCTGCAAAAGGTGCGTTACGTCACGAACACTTCAAATGCTGCATGCCTAAAGACAGTTATTTCAAGGGTGTGGCACACAAGTCACTGAGGCAATGTGCATTCACACACTTCATTATACACTCAAACCTCAACATAATGAACCCTGACATAACAAAATATCGGTTATAACGAAGTGAACAAAAAATAGTTTTTCAATAGATACGTTGTTTGGAATAAACTTTTACAATAAATTTTCGAATACACCAAAATTATTTTCATTTAAAATTCAACTTTGTTATAATGAGGTTTGAGAGTACAAACAGGCAGACAACTGACTGCTTTAAAGAGCCTGCCCACAAAAAACTTACTGCACTCTGTTAACAACAAACCCACAAGAACAGTGAAAGATGACAATGGGGCTCCAAAAAATGTAAATGAGCATGCTGCTCTGGACAATAGAGGTCATAGGAAATATAATGGTACTAATTACCACTATCTTCAGAGCCCTGCTTTCTGCAATGGGTGCAATCAGTCTAGTAGTCTCACAATGTTCTGTCTAAATAACTTGCCACAGAATAAATACAAAGGAAACAAGCCCCTTTCTGTACGATGTCATGGTGTGGTTGAACACAAAGTTCAGGAGCTATCACAAAAATTCTCACAGGTTGCACTGAAAGTTCTTGTCCCTTTCAAAAAGTTGCTTTCTCTCTTCCTTGCCTGCCACAAATAATGGTAAATAGTGGACGCCTGCATAAATCAATACCTCGTTGTTTAAAAATACATTTAGATTGTTTTTGCTTGACACTATTTCATTCCCATCATCCCCCATTCTGACCAACAAAGTTCGAAAAAGGATATCATCGTAAACAGAATCATATATACATTATTTTGGCTCTCGTATTCCAAGGCACTGGAAGTGCATACTGGGCGATCCACTGATATGGGAGACGGCAACAGATTTAATGAAAGTGCTTCCCTATAAATGAAACCATTGTACACTGCTGTTCTTTATAAAAGAAAACACGTGATCACGTGGTCTTTTCTCTGCAACCGCTGCCTACAGTATCGTACAGCGCTTGTCTAGCGGCCATAATTCGTTGTGTTGTTTGCCAGTAGATGACGCCAAAAGTCAACGTCTTTTGCTGTTGGTCGATGATGGGCCTGTAGGTAGGTGCCGCAGAGCGCAGGCCACGTGCTCACCTGTTCCCTTTCATTAAGGACGACAGTGCACATCCCTCATAGATTAGAAAGAGCATTGGTGTACTGCAGCTCATTTTTTTTGCTAAATTCCATGCCTTTTATCTATTGTTGTGGCCTGCTGATGCCATTGACGATGCTTCATGTCCAGCTTCAGTAACCTTCACTCGCTGCTTACAGTGGCCACATGCACCATCGTTTCTTCAACAGGTCCCCAAAGACGAAGGCCGACTACTGTCAAGAGTATGAACACCCTCAGTTTTCAACTTTGAACCCAACATCGAGTGCATTGCAATTGAAAACGAGTTCTGCTATTCAGCATCTTAATTGAACCGGGCAAGAGCTTTGAGAGTACAGTAAGAGTATACATTAAAAATGCATAGTGTAGGCATAAGTGTACGTGGCGTACGTTTGAATAGATTAGCATGGTGCACCCGTATGTACAAGCATTGCTAAGGTGTTCAAACACCCACAACTACCTCGTGGTGCTGAATAATTTTTTTTTCAGTCACATCACAAAATTCACATAATTGGGGTTTCCCTATGGAGCCATCTTTTAGCTTCCTACTGGACAGTGAACCCTCTACCAAAGCAGAGATCACTGGAGCTTTGCCTTAAAGGTCCTGAAATGCAAGACTGGTTCTCCTGCCTTACCTGACAACAACCAACGCAAATGCGCAACTACAAGCCCTGTATAGCAGGTATGATTGATCTACACTCGCATGTTCCCCAATAACTACCCTACGATCCTCTCACAAGCAGAATAGTGAGCTCTGCGAAACCTAACACTTTTCCATTTTTCCTTTTATGTATATATACAACCCTCCCTCTGTGGTTACCTGGATGTGGCCCTGGCTTACCTGCAAGACTTTACAGCATAGCACAAGTGAGATGTAATGGAGAGTTATATGAAAGAAAAAGTATGATAGGTATAAACAGAATGCCAGATTTATTCTTTGTTTTCCATTTCTTTTCAGCTTTTCTTTTGCTATCCCAACTTGCTCTATATCTATACACTGGTACAGCGGTGGTGGCCGTATTCTGCAATCAGGCCATATTTTTTGTACAAACGAGAAAACAAAGGTAAAAGACTTGTACAACAAACAAAATGTTGTACTATACTTTTGCGGGACCAGGAAAAGGACTAATGCACGCTGAAACACAATGGCCACGGAGGACTGTGTTTTGCAGGTGCCATAAATGCATTGTTTCACAGGGCAGACAATATAAAGAAATATTCAAAGGCACAAAACCATGCGAAACACAAAAAGCAAAAGGTACTGATGAGCTAAAGGGTAAACTAAAGGAGATGGCACCACATCTGGCCAGCAACACAAAATCACTGCTTCTCACAAGACGACTCTGACTTGTTCCAAAATACGCCTTTGAAAATGCACAAATGCATGCAAAAGGCACCGGTAGAGCTCAGTGAATACCCAAGAACTGTTGCATAAATAATTTATTCACTATCTGAACTGTTCTTGTTGCAATAAAGTAAGCATGCAAGATATTCTCAGTATTTTGTCATAATTCCAACTGTTATCACAGGTATGGCTGCCACTGTTTTAGTTTTTCAGCTGGTACAAATGGTAACTTCTAGATCAAACAGTTCACAGTTCAACCCATGCTTTCAAATCAAATGTAAAATGAGTAAACTGAGACTTAAAAGTCCTATACCAATGTTGACAGACGAGCCAACAGCTACGCACTGCTCTTTAGCTGTCCTCAACCAAATGTCAAAGCAAACTTGCTAGTTCTGCTACCTATTTTCAAGACAAGTTTTTGTTTAGTTTGATTGTACAGTATCACTTTATCAAAACAATTCAAAATTTTACTATTTGTGCCATGCCTCTTTGAACGTCCCATAAGTCATATATTTATTGTAGGAAAGTTGGTGACCCTGATCAGGATGCAGTTAGCTTAATGGTTATCATACTAGACGAGTACTTCCCTATGCTTCTAACATATCTTTGCTTGTACCAACTGTAAATAAAATAAATAAACTTAATTTTCATGTCGGCGTGGCAGTAATTTCAAGGCCTTCGTAAAGCCCGATTCACAAACACACACACGTCAAATGCATCGTCGTCCACTGGCGTTCATCATAGGGCAAGTTGCTAGTATCGCTTTCTCTTCTGCTATGAGCAGTTGCCAATGTTTCAAGTTTCCTCCCCCCCCTGCCCTGTGTCAAAAAAAGCGACATTTCGTAACGAACACTTGATGATACTATGCCTCGATGGAGCACCCAACAGCTACTTGAAACAAGCCTTACATGTAGCTGAATAATGTGCAAGGGTGGGCCACATCACAAAGCACCTCTGCTGCATTTTAAGACAGACGTACAGTAAGTAGTTCTTTGAAGACTGTAGCCGTGACTAAAATTTATGGCCATAACCAACAATATAATATAGTGCAGTGTAATACACTGTGTGTGCATTGACACAGTACATGCTACAGCAAAAACGCAATACACTGGTGTAATTCATTTTTTTACACTACTGGCAGCTTTGGACAAGTCGTCACTTGTAATAAGACAACTGGACCCATGTGGCTCTGTTATAGAATTTTTTTATAATTTTTTAGCCTTTTCTTAATTGAATTTCTTGCTCTATGAATCAAATGCCACTGAGTAACTGCAAAAAACATTTCCCCAGGAGGCACACATCAGCCTGCTTCGAACAACCGCTCCAGCCAGTCATCTTTAGACACCTTGCAGTGTACATAGGCAGCTTCGAACAACCGCTTCAGCCGGTCATCTCTAGACACCTTGCAGCATAAACTCTACAATAACCTTGGCTGCTCTTTCAAGTCAGCCACAAAGTATACAGATTATAATTTCATGTGCTCACTCATCTGTGAGAAAACAAAGCCCCATCACTGGCTCAGTTACAGCTAAGGCAAGCATGCCTGCTGTATATTGTATGCACGAATAGAATTGGTCGACAAAAGGGGTGCGTAGAAACCAGGATGTATCGCTATGCGAGCGGGTCACCTCACTTATTTTAGATGTAAGTAAAAGGTGGTGGCCGCTCTATTAACTTGGAAATTGCATTCCCAAGATGCCATGACAGTTCATGATAGTACAGGCACATGGACAAATGACAATGACTCAAGGCACAACCATGACGCCCAGGCAGCCGGAGACTCCAACCGATGCAGCAGACACATGCTCCGTAACTCATGCATTGTGCTCATCTGCAATAGATCTGTTCGAAGGCATGTCAAGAAGCACTTCGAAGTACCTAGCAGGAAGCACTGGCCTCTGGCTCTCATGCCCACTGAACATGTTGCTGAGCGACGATAATGGCCTGAAACAAATCTTCCAGCATTGGGCCGTTGAGCAGTAAAAGCTTGCAGATCGTCAGCAGCACTGAACCTGCGCCGCATGGTGGTTGGCTCATAGGCTCGTCACAGGAAATGGCTTTCCCAGTCTTGCCACCTCCTCATTTGATATTGCATCGTATGGTCCCGGCTTCCGTATTTGCCGCCTGTAGTTGCGAGGCGGAGGCGTGCTCCGCCGTCTCCGCCGAAGGAAGTAGAAGAATCCCAGGCAGCACAGTACGAGTGAGGCAAGAACCGCCAAGCAAACACTGAGGATGATGATCCATGGCGGAGGCGCAGTGCCTGGAAGAGAAGTTTAACACCCGAAATTCGGTATACGAGACAGTGATATAGAGACACGAGTATGCCTACAGTAAAATACAGATTCATAAGAGAATGCATAAGAGGTACCTTGCTTATTAGAGACGTCTCATATTAAAAGACAGAAGTTGCTGCTTGGAGCATGCCTCTTATAAAGAGGTTTAACTGTAAGTACAATACACAATAGAGCAGGAGGTAAAAACATTTTTTTTCACATGACATTACAACAATGCAAACCCACTTTGTGATTATAGTCAAAGTGAGAAGAGAAATTTAGGCTTGCATAAAAGTTGGCAAGGCGACAACACCTTACCAGCCCGCAGTAAAGGTTAATATAGTTTTGACAGGTGACAAAGCAAGCCCATATCTTCAAGAGCTGCTTGCTTATGACTACATAAATAGGTTACCTTAATTAGCTCCTCTATTAGTAGACCTATGATGATGAAGCCAGCAATATTTGAACACTCTGAGTAATTTATCAATCTAAACAGATTAATTGTTTCCCTTTAGTGTCCCTTTAAAAGTTTTCACAGTGACCAATTTGCAACAACGAGCAGAAAATAAACGAGAACTATCACTCACATGTTGGCGTCATCGGAGGATCCCAGACGCCCGTCGGCTTGCACACGAGCGTAGCGGGGCCATGCAAGGCGTACCCTTCGTTGCAGGTAAAGAGGACGGACGCGTTGATTCGGAATCCGTCTTTGCTGAACAGCCTACCGTAGGTTGGGCTTGGCAGCGGGCTACACTCTGTTAGCCCAACGCAGCACAGATGTGGTTTTTTTTTTTTTTTTTTGAAAGGTATAGTGCAGGAGCGACGAGATGGGAGTAGGCAGGCATCGAAGAAAGCCCCCAAAAAATACCACCAAAACAGGAAGCAAAGACAGCCAAGCACGAAAACAACGGTAGGCACAAAGCCGCAAGAAAATGTGAGTGCAAAAGTTGCAACGAAAACGGCGATTGTAAGAGAAAGAGTGAGCAACAAAGGATGACAAGTGTGCCGAGTGATGTTTGTCCACAGAGCAAGCAAAAAGATGGGAAAGGAAGCAAAGGAACGAAGAAATGTAAATAGCAGTTGCATTTCAATCAAGTCAGCCAAGCCCGGACAAGAAAGACATGCGAAAAATTGAAACCATTCCATGAAAATAGAAAGAAAATGGGAGTTTTTCGCAGTTTAATGGAGAACGCCACACGCGGAAAGTAGGACAACAGTTAAAAGACAGAATTAGATTGAAGAGAAAGGAACGTGCAAGTTTGAGTGAGATATATAGGAGGATGTGGAAAAAAGAAACAAAAAACAAAAGAGTGTTAGACGTGTGACGAGTGCATACCCTTTAACACAAGTAAAAATTCAGTGTGAACATAAAAAAAATATTTCCAAAAGACTGACCTGACTTAGCTAAAATAAACAAACTCTTCACCGAACACACTCCTTGCATATAAATGTATACATTGACTATATTGTTCCAATTCAGAAATTAAAAAAAAATCAAAATGCTATGATATTTAAGCCACTGCCATTTTAGCATAATATTACACTATGTAGGAGGAGGCAGCAAACCTACATCATAATTCGGCCGATTATCAAATCTAAATAAATTACATTCTACATGCAAATTTTATGTTATAGTAGTATAAATGATCATAATAGCACTGCTTCAAGACACTGATTCTTAGTAAATTCCTCAGAAGCCTTCTCTCACAATTTTATGACTTTTAATTAAGTGATGATGCATTCTTGGGGGGTTTCAGATTAGATAAATGAGTATCTTAACATTCCAGCAATGTAGACATGATGTGTCTACTACAGAATTTTGAACTTTGGAATCAGATTGCAGATTTGAAAGAGGTAAAGTAGAGCCCTTCAACAAAAATCATTACATTTTTAACTGCTTCTTGCATCTGCCTAGCCAAGCAGCCTTCTTTCAGAAATGGCAAGAACCTAAATCCAAGTTTTTCTTTATTGTTTCTTTTAGTGATCTACACAAGGAACAAATCCATGGCGTCACATGTCATAATGGTCGTGCTAGATGCTGACACTAGACGTGCTAATGGTCACTCACACTTCTGTGACGTGAATATTCTGAAAAAGTTCAAGTGGATGCTGGCTATCTTGTCATTGAGATAGCAATTACATGGACACTCTCGGCTGGATTCCCCACCAACGTGATACTCGGCATTATCAGCAAGAAGGTGCAAGAGCGCGCTGCAGCTCTCATCTCTCACGCGTACTTTGGCCCGCAGAGAGGAGGGGAGTGGACGATCTCTCACGCCCCTTTATCTCAGGGTGGGGAGGATGATACGTCTTGGGTGGCGTTGCGCTTGACTAGAACGATTCTGTTGTAGTTACGGGGCGCACAAAGGTCACTGCAACCGTTGCACAGCCTCTGTTTGCGAAAAAGACGCGCTTTTCAGACCCAGCGAAGTAACAACTGAGAAGCTTATTCTGTACCTGTGAGTACGTTCATCTGTACCTGCGAGTACGTTTTGTGCGTCGTTTATGTGTGAGAAACACGGGGCACGTCTCGATCTGCTTGCCATTCCGCTTGGACCTTCCAATTTGTTGCTATCGCGTTCATAGCTTCGTCTTTGTGGCAAAGCTGTGACTTTATTTACGAACAGAAAAGAGCTGCCTGAAACACAGTGAGCCTTTCAACAGAAAGGTTACGTTTCCGTGTCATTTTCATGCATCGCAAGAAAAAGATGTGTCTCACTGACGATTAGGTAGGCTCAACAATGCGCCTTTTGTTCAGTACTCTCCTGAGCAGGTTGCACAGATAAAAGATACCAAGCAATCAAGCGTATTGACACGTTTGCCATTTTCGTTTTGTGACCATCCATGGCAAAAGTCACCAAGAAAATGGCCTTCACAAATAGCGAATCTATTAGAAAACTGTCATACAATAGGTTCTCATTTGATATATTTATATGTGTTTGCTTACTTCTATTGGTTCTATTTTATAAAGCAGCATCTCTGTTCTAATAGCCTGTTGGAAAGGAAGTGTCGAAATAAAATACCCCCTCCTCCCACTACCCTTCTTAGTGTATCCTGAGCAACACTATTGCATTACATATCATTAAATGCTGTAAAGAAACATTTAAGATGAGAAGGTTTCACATGCTTATCTGACACAGGTATCAGATGACTATCTCTAAATCACCCACAAGAAAAAAGAAGGGATCATTTTATCCGGTACTAACGTGTTGGTGGTAAAGGAGCAGTTGTTGTGGTGGTGGTTGTGGTAGCTGTTGGCAATGGCGGTGAAGGTGATGATGCTACAGCTGTTGACAAGGAAAGTAAAAAAGATATTACACAACCAGTTAACACCATTAAACATCAAAAACAAGAACCAAGGGGAGGGAAGCACTTGAAAAGGAATGAAGACTGGGAACACTGGAAAAGAAAGGCAGATAGAAAGAAAACCTGACTGGTGACTGACGGGACCGAGAAGGAAACGAAATGTTGTGTTCGCCTGTATCACAAAATCAGCTTTCACATGACAATGAGAGTTTTAGCAATGGGACTCTTAAACGACGCATGTAAGCAGCAAAGGAGACAAAATGACATAACCAGCAATGCCCGGCTATGGACAAGACCATCAAGACCAAACCATGCAAAGAAGCACCAGAAAAATAACACCAGGAAAGTATCGATACGCTGTCTGTACTACAGACGTCTTACTTGAAATTGAACATTCAAGATGCTTGTTGTATCTTGATTGGAGTGTAAAACATTGGTGTATGAAGAGCGTGACAGCTTTGATTTCATTTCTTTTTTCTTCCCGTGCACCGGCAACTAATCAACATATTTTATATTGCACAGGGGTGCAATTAACTCTGAAAACACATTACAAAGTTTTTTTTCTTTACTTCGACAATCTATTTCATAATCACTGTCAGTTTCTTTTCATCACCAATTTGAAGCAAGGAAAGTGGTGAGAAGCCATTGAACGAGAGGTGCTGCTAGAACCACCATATTGACAAGGTGCCAGAGACTGCTTTCCCAGGCAGCGTTTTTTTAAGTACACCCATCTCAATCTCTCACACCTCAATTTGGAAGATAGCGGTTTAAAGCTAGAGAAGACATTTCTGAATATCATGCACCTACGTAACATAGGGTCATTATCATTGGAAGAGTGGGGGCGAGATGAAATACAAGAAAGAGAGCAGAAAGGTCAGGCTGCCATCTCAAGACGAGTACTTACTCCATTCTCGGCGACAACTTTTCTTGCCAGTACTGCAGACGCTACAGAAGCCTAACCTATGCCTGATGTCACATCAAAACACAGCACTGTCGAGATTTGGGCTTGTTGGTGCATTGTGACGACCGAAAATAGCGCAAAGAAACGGGGACACAAGACGAGGACACAGGGCACAGGCGCTAACTTCCAACATAATTATGTTGGAAGTTAGCGCCTGTGCCGTGTGTCCTCGTCTTGTGTCCCCGTAATTATGTTGGAAGTTAGCGCCTGTGCCGTGTGTCCTCGTCTTGTGTCCCCGTTTCTTTGCGCTATTTTCGGTCGACAGCACTTAAGTTTACTGATAACTTTCTCATCTGCCTCACTGAAATAAATGCTGCTTTATTTATTATCCAACTCAAACAGTAGTGGGAAGTCGTCGGTAAAACATAGTTATTCTTTACTTTGTAAGAATGCCTTCTTTTTTTTCCTTTTTTTTCAGTCCCACCTTTTTAGCATGCCTGTTTATAATGTGAGCATGGTGTCTAGCCTGTTTTCCAATGTGAGCATGGTGTCCACGATGTGGTCGGTCTGCGTTTGGCTGCAAGTGCTATTTGGTTCTCCAAGAAAAATACACTAGTAATTCAACACTAAAATGTACGCTGAACAATAGGAATGTCAAGATTCACATTTTTTGTGTATACATATTTCCAAATGCATTAATGATGTGAGCGAGCTGCTACACAACTTGCGGAGCGGCACAAATGTGCGTAAGGCCCTCCTTCATAGTCTTTTCTCCTCCACCAAGATAAGTTGTCGCCGAGTGTAGCATGTGCCACGTCGGAGCACCTAAAGCCTGGCCAGAATAATCGGCGGTTGTCTGGCAGTACTGGGAATCAAAACACCGTAGCTCGGTTGTTGGATGTAGATGCTCCACCAATTGACTGCCACTGCCATAGTCATCATTGTCGAAGCAGGAGAATAAGGTCTCCATAACCTCCCTCTCCTCATCCACTACCAATAGCGAGGAAGAAAAAAACTAGGTGCAAATAAAAACATTTTAAAGAACTGTAGACCGTAAGAACTAAGATAAGCTTTTTTGTTAAAATATAGGCTCCAGCGACACTACTCGTTCAATGACCTCGTATTGGTTTGTCATTGTTCACAACCCAAAGTGACGGCAGCAAGAAAACACGGGAAGATTATCCACATAGACGTGGAAGTCAAAGCAAAGAGACGGAAGGGACAGAGTATAGACATGCAAACGAAGAAAGAAAGGGGAAGATGGTCCATTGAATGCAGACACACCACTTTATAAAAAGAAAAACAAAAACGTGATGAATATGTACAAGCCTAGAAAACCAAGTAGCACTGCTACTGCAAACTATACCTGGCTATTTATAAGTAGAAATTTGCTTCACATTGTCCAACTCATGGGAAAATGTAAAGAATGTGCGTCAAAGAATGGTTTTGAGTTGAACCAATGACTCATTGTTTTTTTTTTCTGTCACTTTCGCATTATTTTGGTGCATGTACAGAATATTCATTGCGACAGCACTTCCCTGGCTACCTTGCCTCACTGATTTTTAATGTAGTGCCATCAGACACAGTTTTCATGTTAAAACAGTTAGGTGTTTACCTTTTCTACCTAATTCATCATCATCATCATCAGCCTGACTATGTCCACTGCAGGACAAAGGCCTCTCCCATGTTCTGCCAGTTAACCCGGTCCTGTGCTTGCTGCTGCCAATTTATACCTGCAAACTTCTTATCTCATCTGCCCACCTAACCTTCTGTCTCCCCCTAACCAGCTTCCCTTCTCTGGGACTCCAGTTAGTTACCCTTAATGACCAGCAGTTATCCTGTCTACGCGCTACATGCCTGGCCCATGTCCATTTACTCTTCTTTATTTCAACTATGATATCCTTAACCCCCGTTTGTCCCCTAATCCACTCTGCTCTCTTCTTGTCTCTTAAGGTTACACCTACCATTTTTCTTTCCATTGCTCGCTGCGCCGTCCTCAATTTAAGCTGAACCCTCTTTGTAAGTCTCCAGGTTTCTGCTCCGTAGCTAAGTACCGGCAAGGGACAGCCGTTATATACCTTCCTCTTGAGGGATAGTGGCAATCTACCTGTCATAATTTGAGAGTGCTTGCCGAATGTGCTCCACCCCATTCTTATTCTTCTAGTTACTTCAATCTCGTGGTTCGGCTCTGCGGTTGTTACCTGCTTGCCGAATGTGCTCCACCCCATTCTTATTCTTCTAGTTACTTCAATCTCGTGGTTCGGCTCAGCAGTTATTACCTGCCCTAAGTAGACATAGTCTTTTACAACTTCAAGTGCACTATTACCTATCTCGAAGCGCTGCTCCTTTCCGAGGTTGTTGTACATTACTTTCGTTTTCTGCAGATTAATTTTAAGACCCACCTTTCTGCTCTCCTTGTCTAACTCCGTAATCATAAGTTGCAATTCGTCCCCCAAGTTACTCAGCAATGCAATGTCATCGGCGAAGCGCAGGTTACTAAGGTATTCTCCATGAACTCTTATCCCTAAAGTGTTCCCATTTTAGGCTTCTGAAAACCTCCTGTAAGCACGCGGTAAATAACATTGGGGAGATTGTGTCCCCCTGCCTTACACCCTTCTTGATTGGTATTCTGTTGCTTTTTTTATGAAGCACTATGATAGCAGTTGATCCCCATGTGGATTTCTTCCAGGATGTTTATATATACTTCATCGACGCCCTGATTCCGCAGTGTCTGCATGACGGCTGATATTTCTAAAGAATCGAACCCCTTCTCGTAATCTATGAAGGCTACGTATAGTGGTTGGTTATATTCTGAGCATTTCTCTATTACCTGATTGATAGCATGAATGTGGTCGATTGTTGAGTAGCCTGTTCAAAATACTGCTTGTTTCTTTGGTTGATTGAATTCTAATGTTTTCTTTACTCTGTTAACAATTACCTTTGTAAATAGCTTGTATACTGCAGAGAGCAAGCTGATAGGCCTGTAATTCTTCAAGTCCTTGTCATCTCCTTTCTTATGTATTAAGATGATGTTAGCGTTCTTCCAAGAATCTGGTACTCTTCCCGTCAGCAGACACCTCGTAAACAGGGTGGCTAGTTTTTCTAACACAATCTGTCCTCCATCTTCCAGCAGATCTGATGTTACCTGGTCCTAACCAGCAGCTTTGCCTCTTTGGATGCTCTCCAAAGCTTTTCTGACTTCTTCTATCATTACTGGTGGGGTGTCATCTGGGTTACTGCTAGTTCTTATAGTATTAAGGTCGTGGTTGTCTCGGCTACTGTACAGATCTCTGTAAAACTCCTCCGCTATTTTAACTATCCTATCCATATAGGTAGTTATTTTGCCTTCTTTGTCCCTAAGTGCATACATCCGACTTTTGCCTATCCCAAGTTTCCTCTTCACTGCTTTGACGCTTCCTCCGTTTTTTAGAGCGTGTTCAATTCTCTCCATGTTATACCTTCTTACATCGCATACTTTACGCCTATTAATCAACTTTGAAAGCTCTGCCAGTTCTATTTTGTCTGTTGTACTTGACACTTTCATGCTTTGACGCTTCTTAATTAGGTTCTCCGTTTCCTGGGAAAGCTTGCCAGTGTCCTGTCCAACTTCCCTGCCTCCAACTTACACTGCACACTCCGTAATGATACTCGTAAGATTATCATTCATAGTATCTATGCTAAGGTTGGTTTCCTCACTAAGAGCCAAGTATTTGTTCTGCAGCGACACTCTGAATTCCTGAACTTTCCCTCTCAGTGCTAGCTCATTGATTGGCTTCTTGCGTATCAGTTTCTGTCGTTCCTTTCTCAAGTCTAGGCGAATTCGAGACCGTACCATTTTATTGTCACTGCATCGTACCTTGCCAACCACTTCCACATCCTGCGCGATTCCTGGGTGTGCACTCATTATAAAGTCTATTTCGTTCTTATTTTTGCCATTAGGGCTCCTCCATGTCCACTTGCGGTTTTCTCGTTTTTGGTAGAAGGTATTAAAAATCCGTAAATTATTGCGTTCTGCGAATTCTACTAGTAGCTCTCCTCTGGCGTTTCTAGTACCGATGTCATAATCTCCTACTGCCTGGACTCCAGCCTGCTTCTTCCCTACCTTTGCATTAAAGTCACCCATCACTATAGAATACTGTGTTTTTACCTTACTCATTGCCGATTCCACGTCTTCAAAGAAACTTTTAACTGAAGCATCATCATGGCTGGACGTAGGCACGTAAGCCTGTACTACCTTCATCTTGTATCTTTTATTCAGTTTAATTACGATACCTACCACCCTTTCATTAATGCTATAGTATTCCTCTATGTTGCCAGCTATGTTTCTGTGAATTAGGAACCCCACTCCCAGTTCTTTTCGGTGTGCCAGGCCCCGATAGCAAAGGACGTGCCCATTCTGTAGCACCGTATAGGCCTCATCTGTCCTCCTAACCTCACTGAGCCCCATTATATCCCATTTAACACCCTCTAGCTCCTCGAATAGTACAGCTAGACTTCCCTCACTAAATAAGGTTCTAGCGTTAAACGTTGCCAAGTTCAGGTTCCAATGGCGGCTTGTCGGAATCCAGAGATTCTTAGCACCCTCTGCTGCGTTGCAGGTCTGACCGCCGCAGTGGTCAGTTGCTTCACAGCTGCTGGGGACTGAGGGCCGTGAGTTATTTGACGTATGCATGTGGAAGGTAGTGGCCAGATACTGCACCAGGGTGGCCAATCCTTCTCTGGTGAGGGAGTGCGTTCCCGGCGGTGGTTACCGGTGAGGCCGCACCCCAGGCCTCCTAATGCAGTTCCATCAACACGCAGATTTTTTTTTTTTTTAATCCGGTTGGGAACTGCGCGGCACCGGGATTTGAACCATGGACCTCTTGCATGCAAGGCGGATGCTCTAACCACTACACCATCGCCGCACCCTTCCGCACTAATTCTACCTAATTATTTTCACTCATTTTATATACAATACGATGAAAGAAAAAAAAAACATGCTTTCGCAGAGTTGCTCTACCAGACTCCCCTGTCCAGCCATCGATTGATCAATCAATCCTAAAAGCACAGTGCACAGGCAAGCGTGGAAGCAAAAGAAAAAACCCAATTCAATAGCTGCAAGGTCATCAGAAACAAGCCACCAGGAGAGAGAAGCAGGATGGGGAGCGACGAGTGAAAACAGAAGATGTGAGGAACTGAAAGAACAGAGGATATGGGAGGGCCACTGACAAAAGCCAAGACTGTCGAAAGTTAACCAACTTTGTCTTTTTGTGTCCGTGCACGACGGTGGGTCTGGACGCCACTTGAGGTCTTCACCGCATGTGGCAGACGATCGCTGGCCGTCGTCGCAGACGTAAATGATGATGGCGCCAACCTCATAAATGCGGTTTGTTTTAATTTCGCCGTGGGGCAGTGGCTTCGGTTCAGAACACCTCTCTGAAAAGTTTTTTTTTCTTTGTCACAGAAATCGTACACTGCTTCAGCCATGACTGGCTTCAGTCAACAGTACGGTGAAAAATGAAAATCTCTGCTTTCATTTGACGCTTTCTTTCATGCTGCATGCAGGTGAACGTGCCAAACTCAAACCAGCATTTTCATTAGTCAAGCCTCGAAAAGCGTTTTGTGAGTGGGCATGGCAAACGTTCGTGCTTTGAGTTTGCATTGCGGGAATAGAAACAAGAAAAATCAGCTGAAGCCATCTGTGATCATTAGAACTGATTGAGTGAATAGCACAAAGTACAAAGCATCTTCAATTTTAGGTTTTGAGAATGATTCCGAATGATTAGACAAGAGGAAGTTAGGATACCTGGAAGGCCAAACTAAACATTTTATTCTGTGGTATGCACAACATAGTCATTTCCACAGTTTACTGTGGCACAAAATATTGCAGTTGTTCCTACTGTTCTCTTCTACAATTTTAGCATTTCTCTAATGATAGTGTGTATATGGGCATATCAAAGCGTTAATGTAATACAATATCTCAATGTATGAGCGAGAAAAGACAACTGTCTATCATGAGCCTGCATATTAATGGGCACAATATATTAGGCTGTGACTGATTGACTGCTGGACTGGTTATCATTTCACAGGTGTTATTTCCCAATCTAGCATCGCTGTAATTAAGGGCAAGGCAAACATGATGAACATCAAAAATTTCATGGGCACCACACTCCCACTTTCTGATGGTTTACATTGATGCCAGACTGCCAGATGCAGCTCCAAAGACACAGCAGAAAACAAACAGAAAACAATCCCCCATGCTGTTAATGCTTGCTTAGAATATGCACAGTATACGCGAGCCACTACGTTCACGTAACTGTTCTCTTACCAACAATGACATTTGGAGTCCAAAATTCCACAGCCTTTCCATGTCCTGCACATTGCACATGCCGCCACAGCTCATTCATTCTACACAGTTTGCACGTTCAGCAAATCATATCACACCACACCAGAGTTGACTCAATGTGACAGATGTACAGAGATCAGGCAACAAAGGCTTGCTTTACTCCTGGCAACAAGTACCAGGAGTAAAGCAAGCATTTGTGCCCTTGTGCTATGCACTTGTGCTATCAGTGCCGTCAATCGCACGCATGCATGAAAATTGCACATAAACCTCTGCGATCTGCTGAAGCAGCTATATGCAAATGAAAACTTCGCGTGACTTAAAATAATCGATATATAGAGCATGCTGGCTATCTATGTCACAGGTAATTGCATCAAGCCAAAAATAAACAAACAAACAAAACAAAGAAGGAAAGCAGTCTCACAACAGCGAGCACCCACAAACATGCTCAATGAAAGTAACAATGTTTATGACACAACACACAGCAGACGACAAAAACTAGAGCTGCCTGACAATCCCAAGGTTCATTAGAAAATGTTTACATTAAAATGTGGTACAGACATTTATGGCCAGAAAGTACAATAACAATAAATTTTGGCTCAATGTCCACTTAACGAATTTCAATACAAAATTCTCAACATAACTGTTTCAATACTGTAAGATGTCAATTGTGATTTTACTGACTTGACTTTATCAGGATTTGACTATATCAGGAGTTAAACTAAGGAATGATTTACTGGTAAAATTCAATAAGTTATATAGTAATATGCTAGCAAATAATATAATTGTTAGGGTTCATAGTTGCAATATGCTAGCAATAAACATAATTGAATCCATTTCGCACACCACTGTGGGGATAATACTTCAGATACAAATGTCTAATTCAGTCTTGCTGCAAAGTCGCCATCGTGCTATCTGACATTGGTTTAGAGGGCGAGTACGCTTTCTGCTGTTGGCTGAAAATGACAAACTCTGGGATCCCACAGCTTGCTGAAAATTCAAGTTTTTTGAACAAAGTGGAACTGCGGGTCGGGAGTTTAAGCGACGCACCCCTTTGTTGTGCATGTTGCCTTAGCTACAACAATTGGTGGCAACGCAGTCACATATATCTGCAATATACGTCTGTCACAAGAACTATTACACGATGGGCTTTTTATTGTAATTTACTTCCTCATCATCTGATGCGCCTCCACCCAGAAACGATGTCTACTTGAGAAGGAAAGGTTAAAAACTGTAAAGACATGAACTAAACAAGCCGGCAATTATGTGCAATGGCTGAAACACTATTTAATTTAAGAAAGCACTATAACTTCTACTTGAGGAGGCCCTTCCAGCTTTCATTAGAAGACCCATTTATGCCACCTACTGATCTCCTAGCTTTAGAATGCAAAAAAGTACAGCAGAGTTTAAAACAGCGCTCAGATTTTGGTAAATATTCTTGAAGTTTGCCGAATGGTCAAGGTGGCAATTGGTTGTTAAAGCTCTGCGAGAACTGTCCCATCGGGACCCCTACAAAACACTCTAGTGGTACCTAGACAGACCTGGGTCACAGACAAATAGAAATATCCATAAAGTTCATGAAAGTAATCACATAATGGTCATCACAGTTTCTAACTGCTACTACGTAGATGCACAATTGAAGAGGATTTGGTAATAGATGTATACTGCGCCTCCTACACACCGTGATTATCAAGTGGACGAGTGACACCTTCCCCATTCAATTGCTCAGTTTGTGGCAGCACCTGGTGGTGCAGAGATCAACCATGCAAACATGGGAGCATGGTGTACAAGAACATCTGGCACAATGTGAGGTATCAAGGATGGCGAAGCTTTGTGTCACTAGCTTGGTGAGAAAGCTGATGTGGGAGAGCATGGCTTGAGAATCGCCGACGAGTTTAACTAACCTAAGCAGCTTCCTTTATGCAAAGTTGATCACCATCAGCAGCTGGACTATGCTCAATGCAAAATGATGGCCTCTACGGTGTTTGCTGCGGCAAGGTTCTCCCCACAAGCTTCTTAATCTCATCCGATTTCTCTTGAAATTTTCCTCTTGACTTCAATTCGAATTCAGGCTGTTACTCTTAAAGGGGCCATACAACACTTTTGGAGCATGGTCAGAAAACGCTTCCAATCGGTAGTAGAGGCTCCTGACAACACGCGAGCCAAATATTGTGGCGCCGCACGCGGCCTGGAATTCATCATAAATAATCAAAATCAGCTAAACATTTCTTTCTCTTCTCTCGACAAATGACAGAAGACCCTAAAAAATCTCTCTCAGCAAGACCCATCTATAAGCCATTGGCTGATGGCATTGATTGGCATTGTGTGCTCGATTGTTACAGAGACTGCCGCGAAAGGCCACGACTTGTCCATTCGTGCGTGCAGGATCACTTTGAAAAAGTTGCGTAATTCTAAGAAAAAAAAAGTTCTCAAGGTCACGAGGCCTGGGTGACATACTTTTTTGCCTCTGCCATCCCTCCCTGCTTAGCTTCCAGGGCTTTCATCAGGACAATAGAAAAGAGAATCCGATCGCAGTGTGGGTACAAATCTTTGCAAGTCCACTCGTACTGGACGGATTCTTAAAATTTTTCGCGGCGTTGAATTCGTAAGGCATAAGCTCTTCCGGTGAATTCATTCCGTGGTTACTTAAAAAGTGTTTCAGGGCCTCTTTAATGACAAGTAGCTATCTTGCCTTCGTGTAAAATGTCCTGCCCTAGCTCATTTCGTTTTCTTGGTTTGGACTATGATGTCCTTAACACACGTTTGTCCACTGACCCTGTAGTTAAATATGTTACAGCATGACAAAGATACCAATAGAACAAGACACAGCGTGTCCTATAGTTAGTGGGCTTCAGCTTTCTTTCCTTGTTATGGTAGAGCTGTAACATAATGAACCAGTACCAACTAGCCCAGTTCACTATACCCCAGACCCACTCTGCTCTCTTCAAAAGCTGGCAGCAAAACGTCCTGTCAACAAAAGCTGCCCTCACGTCTCCCAAGGTTACAACCATACAAGGTGGTTATGTAAGGTGCTTCACATTCGATTCAACTCTGCTCCACCAAGGCAATAATAAGAAAGGACTTGTGCACCCACACCAAGCACCCATCAAGTGGTGAAGCTCTCATTACTACAAGCGAAAAGAGTGGTTCAGGCTTACGCTCGCAAGTTGGGTCACGGCCAGACCACATTGCATCGTTCTTGCAGCGACGTGTAGCATCACCAACCAACGTAAAGCCCTGGTTGCAGGCGTACTGGATTGTGGAGTTTTCACGGAAGATTCCCTGTGGCGGGTCGATCTTTCCGTCGGCGATGGGGGTGGGTTGTGGGCAAAAGATTTCTGAAACAACAGGGACAACAACAACGGCTTGGTACCCGCAGTGGCACGTGAAAGAGAACTGTTTCTTTGAGGCAGGAGCAGCTAAGGGGAGAAATTCAGCCAAGAATGAAAGGAAAGGAAACGCTCCCTGCAAATGCACACAAACAATGAAAAAAGAACAGTGAAAAAAATTCTGGGGCTTCTCGTCTATGAAGTAACTGGAAATATCCGAGGCATAATGCAGAACACACTATCGCACCTGCTCGATGAAAAGAAAAAGTGTGGCCTGTTGGGTGCCCTAGTTGAACCTAATTCCACTGTGAAACCACCTAGACAAGCCAAAGCAAGGTGATAGAAAACACGTCTTTGTGTTGCAGGTTTTCTTAAAGAGCCTCAAACCTGTGGCAAATATTGGTGATCCTGTCATCAACACTTTTCTGTGTGTATTGCCTTCTTCATGAAACGATTTCTTATTTCACCATAAGATTTTTAACACTCTTCAGTGTCATATAGAAATTTGTGAAAGCCGATGTTGACATCTTGTCTAGTCATTCAATGACACCACAAAGCTCATTACCTCCCAAGCACTGTCATATATCAAGGGTGAGACACCTGAGAATAAATTGGGAGCAGTTTTTGGAGCAGAAAAATTTAAATATTGGAGCAGAAGAATCTTGCTTGGGAACAGTTAGCGACATTTAATATGTCGTCCTGAGAGCTTGAAAATACAAATTTTTAGCAACGTAGGGGCACCAGTGCATATTTTAATTAATTTATTATATACATAACACTGAAAACATTTTTGAAGGCAGTTTTTAAACAGATTATAGCCCGGTATGTACTGCAATACCATTTTACGTACCATGTGACCTATCTGGCCCTCATAACAAACACGTGAAACTATATTTATTAAGAAAAAGGTTTTGCTGGAAACTGGAATCCCCAGAAACATTTAAAAAGAAGAATACGTCACACTCAAAGAGAAATTAAAAAGTTGTGATTGTACAAGAATCTTAAATATGTAGCAAGTGTGCCTTCGCCTAACAGTGGTCCTTCATAGGTCATCACTGTTGACCTACGACTCTCATAACTCTCAACTCTCATAATACATCGACTAGGGATTGCTGCTCCGCGACTCGAGTAAAGTGCTCACGCAGCACGGATAAGAAATTCGTGTACAGAGGCCGTACACGCAGAAATTCGTGTACGTACAGAGGCCGGTTTTATTGCATAAGAAAATAAAAAAACAAAGTCACACTGCAACCGACCGAAACACCAATCGAGCTAAGCCTAAAAGCACAGCCCAGACCCGACACGCATGCAGCGACGCCTCTTGAAAGTGCACGTTGAAAGTTTAGATCACAAAATGTAGAAGTGGCAAAAGACCACTCATGAAAACTGCGCCACGTGATCGGCGCCGCATCACGAGTCACGAATAAAGTGCCGAGGTGCTCGTTCATAACGTTTCAAATGGTTTGAACGCCCGTTCCGACACCATGGCTTCGCAAATTACCAAGTTTTTCTCTCGACCTGTGGAGACTGATGCGCAGATTTCACATGCGATGGCTTTTTTATATGCGAAAGGCAATAAGAACTCACATGTCTAAATAAGTTAGCAGCTAATGGGCAGTAAACCAGAAATGAGCTGCACTTATTCTGCCACTCAGTGCAACCCATTTTGAGAACCCATGTGCACGTGCCAGGGCATCCAGGAAACGTGTCGGCGGAGTCGCATGCAGAGAAAGGGCTCCACGTTTACAGTTACTCGCTCACGGCAAACGCGCACACGTACCTGGCTGCACGCAGCAGCATTGACATGAAAACTTCAGAGACCGGACGAACGCGCTACACACAACAAAACCCGAGAGTCAACCTCGCTACGCTCGCCACTCAACTCTGAAGTTTTCACAAGGCGACAGTGGCCCCAGAACACACAGCCTAGCTAGTAGAAGCAGCACGCTCACTCCACAGCAGCACATTTTTGTAGGGTCCTGTATAATTGCAACAGTTTAGAGGAGATTACGGCAGCACCATGGAAGCCTTCGTCACCAGAAAAGTGAAAAAAAAAAAAAAAAACGCGATTGGGCGCGTCTTATTAGTCAGCTCGGCTTTTTTTTTTTTTTCTACTGAAGCTGAGGTCGGCATCAAAATTCTAGCTTTCAAGGCTGTTACAAAGCAGTTTGGCGCAATTTTCGCGATTTTTATGCTTTTAGAGCAGCTTGGCGCAAGAAAACAAAAATGTATCAAAAATGTGCAATATGCACAACTGTCTCACCCTTGCATATTATTGCAAGATTGTCTCATGCGAGCCACAATTCTTGTTCTTAGTCAATTCTTTTTCTTCTAAAAGCGCGTGGCTGTACTATTGCCAAAGCGTACAGAGCTGTAAACAGAGCGTTCTCGCTTGTGCTGTGTTATGCAACAGGCCATACCTGTTTTTTTTTTCTTTTCTTTTTTTTTTAGTGGTCGTGGCACTATCAGCTGTGCTATGCATAGTTTCTTATATATTTCCTAGAGTGCACTCTGGCATTGTGACATTAGACCTGATCATTAAGCCACCATAAGAATAAAGGGTGATACACCGATTTGCCTAATCTTCGTGCTAATGGCTTCAAATGCATTAGTGTCTTTGTTTATTGTTGTCTTTCCTCGCTTGTTTCGCATACAAAAGTATGGATCGTTATGTGTTTGCTGAGCTGATTTGAATTGGCGAGCCTAAAGAGGTTCTTGTGTTGCACAGGAATTGTTGAAGAGCAGCCGAACTTCACCTTGTGACAGAACAGCTACAGGCCAAATGAAGTCGAAAGTATGAAGCTCAGACAATTATTTGTACTACCCATCGTTCCCATGCTGGCTGACGCGCCCCCCGCTGCAGCTCCTATAGACACTAGCACCAGATTTCCCCCTAATGTATTGTTAGGAAACTCTATAGTGCATGAACCTGTGAAAGGTAGACAGCACGAACTTCATGCTGTCTACGTCTCCATCTTTTGCTTGGGTGTCTTATGCGCTACCCCTTTGAAGTAATGCTTGACATGTTCTCATTTCTAAGTGGGTGTATGAGGACTGTTAGAAAAGTATCCAACCTTTGGCGAAAGAAACAAAACTGGCATAATTGGAGCGTCGGAAACCTAATCCCCCTCAAAGTATAGTCCCTTGCAACTCCACACACTTCTCTCAGCGGTGCTCCCATTGTTGGAAGTATTCTGAGAAGACTTCATGTGGAATGAAGTTTAGCTCAGCTGTCATTGCAGCCATAATGACCTCTCTTGTCTGAAATCGCCCTCCTTTCAATGCCCTCTTGAGTTTGAGAAACAGCCAGATGTCGCAGGGGGCCGTATCAGGAGAGTAAGAAGGCTGTCGAACTACAGGAGTCTGACTTATCGCCAAAAAAGTCAGAACCAAGTGTGAGCAATGAGCAGAAGCATTGTCGTGATGGATGCGGCAGTTTTCTGTTGACCACAACTCAGGTCTCTTGCGCCACACAGCACCACGCAGGTGACGTAGAACATCCCTGTAGTACTCTTTGGTGATTTTTTTTTTACCCTGTGGTACGTACTCATGCTGTACTACACCGCAGGAGTCAATGAAAGAACTCAGCATCACTTTGACGTTGCTGCACACTTGGCGGGCCTTCTTTGGTCTTGGTAACATGAAATGCTTCCAATGTGATGACTGGGATTTGGTTTCTGGTTCGTACCTGTACACACAAGACTCGTCACCAGTGATAATGGTGTTCATGAAGTTAGAGTAAGTACTTGTGAAATCTAGCATGTCCTGTGAGACTTCAACACAATGTTGCTTTTGCTTCATCATGAGCAGTTTCGGCACGAATTTCGCCGCAACTCTCTTCATGGCCAAATCTTTGGTCATAATGGAATGTGCAGAGAAAGTGGTGATACCCAACTCTTCCGCAATTTTTCGGATAGTCACACAATGGTACTGCACCACGACAGCAATCACATTGGCAATGACCAGGTCATTTCGGCATGTTGGTGGGCGACCAAAGCGTGGCTCACTCTCCACTGATGAGCAGCCGTTTTTAAACCGGTTCTGCCACTCCTTAGCGTGTGCGGCTCATAGCGTCGTTACTGAAAGTAGTCTTGATCTTCCCAATAGTTTCCACTTGGCTGTCGCCCAGTTTCCGACGAAATTTGATGCAGTAGCGTTCCTCCAGTCGCTCCGTCATTTTCCTTGCAATAAAATAGCGACGAGAGCACTGCGCACTACCTCATTCAAATGATGCGTCCCAGCAACTGGCCCTATTGCCAGACGGGAAAAAATTCACGCATGCACATGAAGATTCAAGGTTGACTGAAGCAAGCGCGCTTGTTTCAAATCTACCAGATGCTCACAAATAAGAATAAGGTCGGATACTTTTCTAACAGACCTCGAAACACACCAATTGAAAACACACCAATTTGCCCCTTTACCAACGGCTTGCACCTCAGTGAGAGTCAACCTTTCACAGGTTCTTAGCACCAAAGAGGTTCCTAACAATACTTTAGAGGAAAATCTGGTGCTACTGTCAATAGAAGCTGCAGCACGTAAGACTGCAGTGCATAAGACATGAATACAAGAAATAATGACGACAGCACAAGCTGTATGCTATCTACGTCTCTATCTTTTTTATCTATGTCTTATGCGCTATCCATTCGAAGTTATGCATCTTTACCAACCTGCCCAACTTATATTGTCAAGCATTTCAACGTGCCAGCTTGCACACTTGAAAATGTTATGGGCAACTATTCACCATCTACAGGCCAAGGCTTCCCCCCCCCTCCCACTCGTATAGTTCAGCGGGTCTCCTGAAGGGTGTTTTAGTTCTCCACAAGCTGTCACGATGAATGCGACCTCACCCTGTAATACCTATGTTAACATACAGTTCCTCAACTGAGAGAACAAAATTCGCATGGCATTTTGGATATAGGAAGACCCTTGTAAAGCAAATCTGCACATTGAGATCCTGTGCACAGCGAGAGAGTCGTGACGCAGCAATAACAGGACTCATCTGATCGTCGCAATATGCACCTCGAAATTTGTGCAACGTGCAGAGCTATGGTGGTTGCGCATGCCATAGAGTTTCCTAAAATTAACTAGAGGACACTCTAGCACTGCGATTGTTCAGCCATCACGGGAATGATGGGTAAGGCACAAATTTGTGTAACCTTTGTACTTTCGGCTCCGTCTCGTTTCAAGTGGCCATGAGCTGCTTTTTCCCCAAGATGACAATTGGGAAGTGTTCAGAAGTTTCACTTCGCCACCTTAACTTTTTAGGCTCACAAAATATAATCTGCTTGCAAAGTTCAAAGTGGTCCACTCTTTTATTCGAAATGAAACCAAAACACAATAAACAAAGCCACAAGCGTGTTCGAAGCCCGCAAGCACGAAGATTGAGCAATTTGTGAGTGCACGCGATGAAAACATGGTAGCGAGCATGTATGACAAATCTGGCCTCAGGAGAATATCAACGCGGTCATAGTAAAGCATTTTTTTTTTTGTTTTCTGAAATTTAAAGAAATGAGTAAAATAATGAATATTGCATTTTGTGCACATGTACATTAGTGCATCATATTGAGAAGGCTTGGCCACATGATCAGTCCCAGACTGGCAGAATAAATGACAGAAAACTTTTTTTTTTTTTTTAGAAAAGATCCCTGAAATGTGTTGAAGGACTCGCTGTGCATTGTTTGTTTACGTGCACGCGTTTACTGAATTCCCGTTCGGCTTCTCCATCCGACGACTACAAAATGGCATGCTCAGGATCTTCTAGCTCTGCTTTAAATTCATTTGGTCGGTTTACTTGAAGGAGCAGAGTTTCGAGCCTTTGATTCTTTTCTTGCGTGTTTTCTTTGTAGGGGGCACAAGGTACGATGAGTATCCATGAAGTACCATTGGCACTGCACCGGGAGTAAACTTTTTTTTAATTTTGCATCCGCTGACGAAGTCACAAGAAAATGCTTGCTGCAAATGACAATAGAGAGAAGCTTGTCATAATTCCCGAGATTTTTCTGGGAAATGTCTTCCTGCCACATCGCGCATTCCTGATTAGCAGGGAATTAGTGAAATGACACGCCGGCAGTCTTTCCAGCCTACGACTCGCAAAACGGCACGCAACATGTCCACCATGCATGTGCGCTTTGGAATTAGAATCTTATACACATGCAGCAGCGCCGATGTGTTCAGCCGCTACAATGTGGCCGGTAATTTCATTGTTAAGGCGACCTGACATACGATGGTTCTGGAGAAGAGTTTGACAACCACACAAGTAAGTGGTTTATCATACGAAAACCACATTTTGATGCTAGTGGAAGGCTCCGGGAATTTCAACCATCTGAAGTCTTTGAACATTCACCTAGGAGATAAATCTAAACACACGAGCCTCAAGCATTTTGAAATGCAGCGAATATAAGTTGTTTGAGCCTTGAAAAATGAGATTTTTGTAGCGCTGCATGTGCGTTCACTGCCCAGTGCATGACTGCCGAGAAAGCCAGACTGTCCCCAGACGCACCTCTACTACTCTAACCGCTTCCTACATGCGGAAGAAGTAATAAGCACGAGAAAAAAGCCAGCTTATTTACATTGCTATGAGTATGTGGCTAAACGTGCTTTGAAAAGTTGGCTCGCGACACCCTCATGCGGAGTGTGCCGTCGTCACTGTAGAAACAGCTCCATTGTACTTGCGGTGGCTGCTTGGGCCATAAAAGGTGAGAGTGATTGATATGTGGGATTTAACGTCCCAAAACCACCATATGATTATGATATGAGAGACGCCGTAGAGGAGGTCTCCGGAAATTTTGACCACCTGGGGTTCTTTAACGTGCACCCAAATCTGAGCACACGGGCCTACAACATTTTCGCCTCCATCGGAAATGCAGCCGCCGCAGCCAAGATTTGAACCTACGACCTGCGGGTCAGCAGCCGAACCTTAGCCACTAGACCACCGTGGCGGGGCAATCGGCAGAGTCTGTGAGCCAGGAGGCACTACTTGTTCGCCTCGTTGAGGAATCTTGCCGCCGACTGATGAAAATGTTGTGGCTTGTGGCGTAGTTTCAACACATGCTGGTTTGCCACAACACTACATCAAATTTGTGATCAAGAGGTGCAAGAAAGTTCGAAACATGTTGTGCAACCTCGTACCACGTCGGTCATCTAGTGACAGCAACAAAAAAGTACAGTGTTGTCGATTAATTCACTATGTGTTCCAAGGCAAAGCTAGCGCGAGTGAGAGTATTTACAGTGTGCCTGCGCTATTCCCCCACCTTTAAGTGTGTCCACAGGTATTCGCCAACTGTATCGAGGTGCGGTGCATCAAAGGTCAGTGACGTTACGAAAAATGATGCAGCGTCGAGCATGTCGTGCTCGAGCGTCAACTCGGCAGCCTATAACAGTAGATGTGAAATTCTCGTACTACATTCGTGACAAAACAGCACGAAGCAAGGTGCCACCGCACTGTTCCGCACAGTGGCTGGATCACAGGAAAGATTAACATAGGACATCATTCTGTGAGGGGGAAAAAATCAAATCTTGACAGAATTTAGAGGTGCAATCATTGTGCAAGTACATTCGATAATGTTACGCAAGATGTTCAGTACTGCCTCACTGTAAAAAAGAAAGTGACAATATCAAGGTGCAAAGTAGCGGGACATTATGCACTACAATACCGTCAGTAAACTAAGAAAAGTTTCAAACTACAACAAAAAGAAGAAAGCTCGGACTACAATAGAACAAATGCGATTGCTTACACACCTACGCACTTCGGTGCAGGACGGCTCCATTTGCCGTCGCCCTTGCAGACGACAGTATTGTGGGGATCCCAGTATTGGTCGTCGTGTGTCACCAAGTGGTATCCCTTGTTGCAGGTGAACGTCACTTCTTGCGGGTAGTTGAACACTAGTGGTGTGACGTCGCCGTTCCTACAGTAACCGTTCGGGCACGGATGACCGCAACTGACAGCTGCAGATGCAAAGGAAAGACATGAGCACAAAAATCTCCAATTGGGGGCTTAACAGGAGCCCATTAAGTAAGATTCAAACAGACTATGACCGGGTTGTTTGTATGTTCGTTTAGAGACTGCACTATCCTAAAACGTGCCCCATTAAGTTGTTCCTGTGCAGTATTCCAAATACTGTTCCTAAAATGACTGCCCCTTATTTCAATGCCCCAAAAACTTCCATCTTCTTTTACTGAGGATGCAGTTACAATATTAAGATCGAGTTTTCTGTGTCAGTCTACCCTCCATCTTGGCTATAACACCCAAAGGTATGTTCTCCTCATGAGGCCATCTAACCACTCATCCAAACTTCATCAGATGTATGCCTATTCTAGCATACATACTGATACAAAGAGAACTGGGCCGTTACATACGAGAGTTGATGCACACCTTCTCACGCAAAACAGTGCTTAACGAAGGCAAGGGAACTGCAATGCTATGCTTTAAGTGAATGCTACTGAAACATTCAATGATTTCACACAGGTAAAATTATTATTTCAAGGCTCTGTCATGAAGTTCATGAATCAAGGTTGACTATCAGAAGTCCAGGTGAAGGTAAAATTATAATTAAAAAAAAAAATTTGCATCACAATTTCAGCAAACCACTGTAGGGATTGGATTGCAGATTCCAGCACTCTGCTTGTACTATTTTATACTCAACATTATATTCCTGGAACTTGCCACCATAGGACATTCCTGATTCACTTAATACGACACAACTTAGCATTTAAACAAATAAAGAGTTATGCACGCTATTAATGCCACCACAGCGAGTTAGTACATGAACATCCAAGATGACATCGCCATCTGCATAGTTTTCTTGTCTGTTTTCAAGCTTATCAGTCAACACCTCCTGGCAAGAGTGGTGTTCAGCATGTCCTGAAAAGGTAATTTACTAGTACGAGCGAAATCACTAGCCTCTTCAGTATTTCTTTAAAATCCCTCAAAAATGCCTTCTGTGACGAGTTGAGCACGATAGATTAGTATGGCAGCTGGCAAGCTTATGAACATTGAAGCCAATGACGAGATGCTGGTGTCACGACGACCCTTCAAAAAGTTCATTACACATTGGACAAGTCATTGAGGAAAAGAATAGAAAAAATGACACAAAAATCTGACGAGCAGTTCTTCACTTATCGCCTCCCTCAGCAACACAATGGGCAAAAAAGTCCACTCCGAGAAAACAAGCCTAGAAGGTTCATCATGCGGCTGGCTCCTTCAAGCTGCAGAAGAGTAGCTTGAAGTATCCTTGCACTTATCTTCTTTTGTCTTGCCTCTATTTTCTTTCGATGTTGTTTCTTCCTGTTTTTTTTTTTTTTTTTTCAGGGGTAGAACTTTTTTTCTTTTCAAGAGCTTGTTGAATGGCTAGGTGTCTTGGTCAGAGTCCAGACTGGTATAACTTGATTGGATTTGCAGCAGCCGGCACTGCTCATGCAGTGCTATTTCTACAACAATCATGGACACGTGCAGTTCCTTCAGCATCGAGGACCACAGAATCGGGTAGAATAACTCCTATGCACTCAGAGAACTCCCAAGAAGTACTGAAGAAGAGACTGGTAGATAGCAAGATAGCACAGAAGGTTACATTTGTGCTAAAGGTCTGCCTCACCCTTTTTACCTCTACAGCTCTATAGTGGCACCACGGTTCAATTCCCTCTAGTCAAATTTGAAGGTGACAAGGATCTTTGTGAGGCCATTTGACGTGGTGATATGTTGCCATCACTGCTCACTGCATTAATGTCACATCACTCGAGTTGTTCCTCAGGGTACAACCATAATAGTCTGTAAGCTTCTCAATGAGGACATTAGTAAGCTTATCCTCTTATCCCTCTTTTTCAGAATGTTTTACAGTCCACTTCCCATTCTCTTCTGAACTAGAAGTTCTTTACTATCTGCACAAGCCCATAAACACTCTCTTTGGATGAGAACAAAGAATGTATGGCTGTTCCCATCGGGCAGAAGGGCAGGGTAACGCAGGCCATGCTCAGCTATGGACCTCTTGGAGAGAGACCTGCCACCTCCTCCATGCTTCCAGATATTGCACCAGAGTTCTTTCGGCAAATGTGGTGCTTTATGCTAGTCGTCATATGCTGCATCTCTGGGTTTGGGCCTCGCTAGGCATCCAAGGCAATGGACTTCAGTAGAGTGACTTGCTGGGCGAGTTGGTTCATTCTTACGGTAGGCTTAGGGCAAAATAAAGACGACAGGCAGACAAGCGCCCAGGCGCGCTTGTCTGTCTGTGAAGAATCATACACCATGTGTGTGGCACACCGTACACACTTGTCTGTCTGTGAAGAATCACACACCATGTGTGTGGCACACCGTACAACACAAACTGGACAAGAATGCTGTTTGCTGAATAGTCAGCCTCCAAGATCTGGCTGCACATGCACTACCCCAACTCAGAGGCCATTATTTGTAGTACCATGCTGAGGCACTAGGTGGCGTCACATGGTTTGCTTATATCTAAGTTTATCAATATCCCCATAGTTACATATTCTGCATGTTGGTTGCACTAGCAATCCGATGATAGTTGTCACCAATGCTCTCTGCCACATGGAACACAACAAGCGTGAGAGTACTTTCAGAACAATGTACAACTGACGTCAAATGAAACGCGAACAGCAGAGCATGTGCCGCTAGAATTACAGAAGGTTTGATTGATTGATTGATTGATTGATTGATATGTGGGGTTTAACGTCTCAAAACCACTATATGATTATGAGAGACGCCGTAGTGAACGGCTCCGGAAATTTAGACCACCTGGGGTTCTTTAACGTGCACCCAAATCTGAGCACACGGGCCTACAACATTTCCGCCTCCATCGGAAATGCAGCTGCCGCAGCCGGGATTCGAACCCGCGCCCTGCGGGTCAGCAGCCGAGAGAATTACAGAAGGTGTAGAGTGCACCAGCCAGTAACCACCCTAGACAGGACTGGTCTGCAGATGTGGTCTGGCAGCACTGCACGATTCCTCCAAAGTACGATATTTACTAGAGTTCTAGTTTGGATTTTCGGAATCAAGGCAACAAAAATAAAAGAAAATAAAAGTGAAACCACAAAAAACTGCTTGGCATGCCCGCGCGGGCCCCTACCATAACTATATCAAATCTAAAATGCGAGCCAAAATATTGCATTATAAAGGGATCGCACAATGATACCAAACCGGATGTGAACACCAGTCAGTGGTGATGAATGGACGGAGTTGCACCATACTGTGGCTAATGCTTGAACCACAAGTTCCCGTGAACATGCAAGACAAATATCATATATAGCCTTGCATGCCGCAGAGAATATAAAATTGTGTTTCAAAGACCGTTAAAAATTGTTTGCTATTTGCAACTAATTATGCAATTGTGGTGTCGACTGTGTCACCAAGAGGATGACATGGCCATTGGATGATTTGAGCATTCGAGAGCTGTACAGTTATTACCCTGCCAGTATGCGCTGCTGTACATACTAGCTCTGCAGTGTGCTAAAATGACGCACTATACAATATCACTTGCGCACTCTTCGTAACAAACAGGCTCACGGTCAAGACGCATGCACCTTCCATAAAACTATTAGCATATAACACTCTACTGCAACCGAAGTTAGAATACGCATGTGCCATATGGGATCCCCATCAATGTAACCTAATTAAAGCACTAGAATCTTTTCAGAATCGTGCGACCGGGTTTATCCTTTCCATTTACTCATATAACAGCAGCATTACAGAGTTAAAATCTCATATTAACCTTCCCAATCTTGCTGTTCGTTGTAAAATCGCCCGCCTTTGTCTTTTTCATAAATTTTATCATGCTACCCTTCGTACATCTGTGATCCTTCCAGCTCATCGCCATTCTAGCAGTCCAAAGCCGTTCACCCGCCTCATGCTCGGACGGTAGCTCACTCATCGTCCTTTTTCGTGCCAACGCCCAAAGACTGGAACGTTCTCCCTGCCAGTACCATGCACCACTCCAGCTCGGTACTCTTCAAAGAACAAGTTGTCAAACATTTGTGATGTTATTTTTTTTACCACCTCTCATGTAAAACCTTTAAACCGAGGCCTTTGAGATAACAGAAATGAATAAATAAATAAATACTCATCTCCTAGCCCCTCTGTCACTGCCCCCTTTAACTTTCAGCATGCCTGTCAGGATGAAATGAAAGAGATAGCACTGAAATAAAAATTATAGGCCATCTCCCCAGAGGGAACCATGATGATATGCGAAGCCGCAGCAGTGCACACACTGTTGACTCGACTGAAACGGGCATCGATTAGGGTGCTGGAAGAACGATTTGAAGCGAAACTCTGTGTAGCCTTTACTCGAGCAAGGGTTTCTTTGAAACGCAAAGACACGAGAGGCAGGTTGGATTTCGTGCAAGTTTAGCAGCGCAGATAACGGAGATGAAAGAGTGCTTCCACTCTACGTGTGATCGAGTGTTGCGAGTGGTGGAAAGGGTGAAGCAAGAGAGGAGTGTGCTGTGAGCAGATGGAGGAGAAACACCACCTAAATGTCTTGGGAGGAGCTGGCAACTGCTGCAGATGAGACTTGACCTACTTGACCTCGTTTCAACAACAGCGGCGGGGAAACCGCAATGCGGCGTGTTGGCATGGAGACATGGACGGACAGTGTTATGCAGGCTATTCAAAGAGCTGCTTCGCATATAAAAGAACTTAAAGGGACCCTGAAACAGTATTTTTGGAGTTTTGTCAGCGTTTAGGCTAGAGCATCATCAAACCATTCGTACCACAAATTTAGCGACACGTCGTGTACCAAGGCCACTATGGACTATTATATCGGACCTTCCTCACCTCTGTCTGGCCTCCTCAGCTCACGAGGCACGCTGGCATCGCTGGCGATCGTACAGCTCTCGTGAGCGAGCTTGGCGATTTGAGCTTTTACCAGTCTAGATCACACGCCGACAGGTTGCGCGCAGTCTCGTAGGTCATCACAGAGTGCGCCCCGACGCACACACGCCGTGTGGCAACGGAGACGAAGATGGCGGAGTGGTTCATATTTGCTCCGACAGGTGCCGCCACCCTACCAGCAGATCTTACTGCCACGCATTCTACAGCCCATGACAGCCGATCAGATCAGCAGCCACGGTGACGTCAAGTGGCCAGAACATGTCGCTCTGTTAATGGGCAGTTGAAAACATGTTCAGCAGAGTCGCAGCGATCTGCACCGATTCACAGCATTAAAGCGTAATAAATTGCACAATTTACGCAGAGAGCTCGAATCAGCCTCTGACTTGGTCTACTGGCCCAATGTGTTTGCACAAAATCGCCAAAACTACGGCAGGGTCCCTTTAAAGCGTGCGAAAAATTCTTCCAACTCCGCTTACACTTGGCGGATTCGAAAAATGTTTGTGGCAATCGATTTGTCAGTGATAAAGTCTGATAGTGAGACCATTTTATGCATACCTGGAAAATTGTAGGCAAGGCCCTGCAACACTTACCACATACGCTTTCAATTGCCGTAAAAGCAATGAAAACTATAAAAATCTACTGCTCTTACGACAATTAGAAGTGGTTTCGGTTATATCGAGAAGACTGCTTGCCAGACGAACGACTGACCTAATCAATTACTGACCCTCTAGTCAAGGAAGAGGGCACTGAATTTAGTGCGGCCCTTTTCACACCTGCATGAGCACTTATAGCTCCTATTATCAATATAAGTTTTCAATATACACAAACAAACAACTTTTCAGAGGTTGTTGCCTATGCAAGGCTACTTACTTCATAAAACTGCTACACAATGGTGACGAAATATTTCAATACTCACACGGTGAGATATATATATATTTTTTATCGGTGCGAACGACTAAATTGTGACAAACGAATCTTTTGGGATACAGACACAAGCACATTACACTGGCACTCAATATGCGCTAACTAAAAGCGTCGTCATTTTAGGAGAGCAACGTTGTGGGGTGCATTTTCCATAATAGGGTAACCCACGGCTAGCTCATGCGTATACCACACAGTGCTTCAGGAAAGCGAGAGAATTAGACCACTTGGTCTTTAAAATCATTTCAGCAATGCCACTCACGCCTGCACTGCAAGTTCCTTGAATCCCACTCCCACTGGTTGCCGCGGCATGTGGCATTGAGTACGCGAGGTCCCGAATATTTGCTAGACGGGAGGTAGCCATCTAGACACTTGTAAGGTGCCTTCTCCCCGTCTTTGAAGGAGACCTGATGAACTCCGGTAGAGTAGGAACTGGTGTAGTGGAGCGTGTAGTCGGTCAGGTTGTCCCAGCTACAATCAGCCACTGCAAAAGAATGGACCAAGGTACATTACCAAGGTACATTATGCTTGGAAGAGAAGAAAAACCAAAAAACACTGGAAACTGTGATAGAAACATACGCTTTGCTCCCCAAAAACACATCACTTTGACTTCTAATAAGAATGTAACCATGCTTAAGTGTCTTCTGCAAAATATTTGCCCTGAGGTTCTGAAGTTGCTAAACTCCCATACTTTATTTTGTTCCATCTATTTCTTTTTATTTTAGTGCCGCTCCTTGTGTTTCATGAGGGGGCACAACTTTCAACTACAGCCGATCCTCTTTATAATAGACACTGATATAAGAGACAAATGGGTATAAGGGATAACAGTGTACCTACAATAAAATACAGGTTTATAAGACAATGCATACAAGGTACCCTGATTATAAGATCCATCTTATATAAAAGACAAGAATTTGTACCTGGAGCATGCCTCTTATAAAGGGGTTCAACTGTACCACAAAGTGAAAACAGAACAGGAAATATTATATTTTTTTTACTACAGACCTACGCATTTCATGTGAGGAAGAAGACCTCGCCCACAGTTAGATAGGTCTCAATCAACTACACCTGGAATGCCACAGATGGGATCATTCTCCTCGTGGGACATCCTCAATCAAATCTCTACAGAGATTGATCCAAGCTGCCTAAGCTGCAATGAGACTTATGGTTCTCTCACCAGTGATGGTTCTAGAGGGGGGGGGGGGGGGTACGGGCGATCGCTTCCCCTTAAAGTCTGTGTCAGCACTCCCCTACCTCACTTTAGTGCTATCACCAAAAAGGCCAAATGAGTGAAAACACTGTGGGCACACGTTGGCAGTGTTAATGCTATGAAGGGGTTTTTCTGCAAGTAAAAGAAAGTCATGAGCACACCCCCATTTCCAATGTTAATTAAGGGGACCCCCTCTTCCCCCTAAAATAAGTGGCTGGATCGACCCCTGTCCTTCGTGCATATGCTTTGGCAATACGCCCCATTACCTAACAACCCTCTATCCAGCGAAGTCGATTAAGAAAAGATACTCCAGAGCCCTTCACTCCACGCACAAATCCAGGCGATCCAGAGATCCCCACAAAGGATAGAACATCACGGTGCCCCAGCCCTGACTTGAATGCGCCCCACTGCCACTGTTTGTTTCTGCAGGTCCCGGATAGGGGTTTGCGCGAAAGCTCCTCAGGAATAAATACAGTCCATTGCCTGTCTGTCTATCGTATGAGGCTACTTTTCTTATGTTACACCAAAGCCAACTTGTGCACTCAAACTGGCATGTGATTCGCACCCAGACTCTAGCTCAATATTTTCTGTTTACTTTGTGTGAGTTAGCGGCAAGAGAAACTTGGTACCTGTTGCTTCAAGTAGCAACTGTTATTTATTGGCACCATTCCTTAGAGAATAAAGCTGTTAACCGAGGCACCTGTAGCAGTAGTACAGGTGGTTATACATGTGTGCACAAGTACCGTATTTCAGTTTCAGTTTGTTCATTTATTCAAAATACAGAATTCGTAAAATGTAGTATGCAGACGAGGGTCCTAAAGTCAAGCGACTGCAGTGGGACCCTCGGTTAACAATACAATAAAATTATTAATTATAACAGCACGTAAAATACGCAACACAATTGAAAAGTAAACAGTGAACTTACATAAAATAACATCAAGTAAACAAAAAAGGCAGTCAGAATGCGACACAAGAAAAATAGTAATGCGACACAAGGAAAATCGAACACAAGGTCGTATTTACTTGACTGTAACGTGAAGGTCACCATTAAAAGTAAAAATCTGGAGAGAAAAAAATTGCATTATATTCAGGTATGTTCAGTAGATTCATTGCACAGGTCGAGAGTCCAGGATAAGAAGGGCAACTTACAAGGAAACCCAGTGCACAGTGTTGTGCGAGTGTTCTGAAGCGACTTCTTCACAGCGGTTCAGCATTAACCAACTACCCCGATTTGAGTGTTGTGGCCGCTGCCATCTTGACGACAAAAAGCGAAATTTTTCGTTTGTATCGGTTGCATGTTTTCTTATAGACTTCTCATGTCATTTTCAGGCTGAGCTGCACTGGCACCGTGACTGTGCAAGAGAAGTTGCATCAAATGCCGCCCAAGGTCGGATTTGCCACAAGGCTCCGTGTACGCTGGCTCTGTCCTCCCCTTCAGTTTTTCCCTGTTTGGCTGTCTTCGACATCTGGGTGCATCCTTCCGGGGTGTGCAGCCATTGCGGGCAGGGCTGACTTGAGCTCAGCTGACTGATGCCTGTTGCGTATCTCGGCCAGGGCGAATTCTGCCTGGTCGGCATCTCTCACTAATGATAATTTACCCATCTTTTTTGCGCAGCGGTCTCAGCAGCGTTCCAGTGGCTCTGGTCCCAACAAACGGGGCTTCTATTCACATGAAAAACCCCAAAAAAGCATTCAGGAGGAGCTACGTAAGGTGACCAAACACTTCCAACTCATAACCGAGGTGCGACAGTTTGGTCGTGGAAGTATTCTGCGCTGTTCCCCCGATCAGGCCTGTGTATCAAATTTGATAAAATGTACATCCTTTGCCTCGCTCCCAGTGAGCTCTATAGTTCCTCTTCCCTTGGCCTGTGTGAAAGTCTTAGTACATGGGGTGGTCTCGAGCCTATCTCTGCCCGAAATTCTAGAGGTGTTTTCTGTAGCAGGCGTGGTGGTAGCAGTCTTTCGCTGTTCATGAAGCATTGACAACAAAAACATCCCAACAGAATCAGTGATAGTTACCTTTGCTAGCACTACTAGACAAACAGAGATCAAAGCGTGGCCACTGATATAACGGGTCATAGCGCTATCTCCTCAGTGCCATAAATGCTGGCATTCTGAGTATGGCATAAAGGAATGTGTCAAATGATGTGCAGCAAAACACAACTCTAGAAAATGTACAGCTCAAGGAAGGTCTTGCTGTCTCTGCGGTGGCCCTCACCCACCTGATGATGGTGCATGCCCTGCGAGAGCTCAGTTGATCCAAATTATGAGAATAATTGACCAAAAATGTTGCTCAAGATGCGAAGATTGAATTGTCATCATAGAGCGCTCTCGTGGGTTCGCTGGTGCTATGGTACGTAATAACCATGTCACCAATTCGTCACTCTCACAAGCGATAGCCTCGACCGTTGAGAAAACAATGACAAAGCTATTGGAGAATCTTTTCGTGACGCTGACAGAGTCATTCACTCTGTAGTGACAAAAATACGGGCTTGCTAGAGACGACGAAGAAGGCGTTTGTTGTGGCAGAGGCTCGTGCTGCTGCAGCTGCTGCTAAAACCGCTGGCTGCTGTCTCGCTGCTGTTCGGCCCATTAAACGGTTGCATCACCCCGGCGTGGCGTCTAACAGTATGCTTACATTTGGTGGAGAGTGCTGGTTGTCTCAAACTGGAACTCCGTTCCCAGGACTCTACCTCAACCCCCCGCTTCGCCAATGCCTGACATGACCCAGCCATCTGCAGTCATAATCCCATCCGTCACCTGTTCCGGCATGCCACGACAACGAGATCCAGTAATTTTCAACGCAACCGACGACCAAAACGCCGAAGACTGGCTGTCCTAGTATGAAGCGGTAAGTGCCCACAATAAGTGGGATGACACCGACAAGCTCACTTACCTTCATTTCTATCTGGCGGGTATGGCAGAACTGTGGTTTACCAACCACAAAGCGGAAATACCCTCTTGGTCAACCTTCAAGACGCGCTCTTTGCAGAAGTCTCTGGCCGACCCGCTGTTCACAAGCTCCGCACAGAGCAGCGCTTGCGCGGCCGCGCACAGCCCTCTGGCGAGACCTTTACCTCGTATATTGAAGATATTCTGGACCTCTGCCGTCGTATCGATTCCCACATGTCTGACACAGACAAAACACGGCACATCATGAAAGGTATCGAAGACGACGCCTTTCACATGCTCGTTGCAAAAAACCCGCAAACCGTCGCCCAGCTCATTCAACACTGTCACAGTTTTGACGAGCTGTGGAGAGAGCGCATTTCTACTTGACGTCCAAACCTCGACACGAGCTCTACATCTGCGTTAACCATTGGCGCTGTTTCATCCGAACAAAGCACCTTAATGCAGCAAATTCAGCAGTTTGTCCGAGAAGAAGTGGCGCGCCAATTATCTCTTGTGCCGCACGTTCCGACTAGTGCGCACACGCTGACCCCAACGCTCCGCAAGGCAATCGAAGAGCAAGTTTCTGACGCCCTAACTCCCACATACCATCCTTCGCCTATTTCCTGCGCCTCTCACTTACGCTGAGGCCGCCAGACGATCGCCGCCGTCGCTACCAAACGCCACGGATCTTGCTAGACAGCCCTGTCCCATCTACGCAGCAAGTCCCCCTGTCCGTCCTCACCCACCTCCTGTTCGCCACCCCGCGCTACCATCAACTAACCCTTGGCGCACTCAGGACAACAGGCCGATTTGCTACTTCTGCCATCTTCCCGGTCATGTAGCACGCTACTGCCGCCGTCGGGATTATAACCCAACTGCTGGTGAGGTGACTTACGGCTATCGTCCAGAGCCACCACAGTCGTCTTCGTTCCCCCCCCACGTCGGAACAGTCGCCGCCACGTCGCCGCGGCTTCGACAGGGATCGGTCGCCTTCACCACGGCGCCGTTCGATTTCTCCTATGCTTCCTCAATCAGCCCCCACCCAAACGGAAAACTGACCATCGCAGTTCCCGAGGCAAGAGCTGCGCCTATATCGAAACTTTCAAGGCCTCCGTTTCTACCTGCTAATGAAATAACTGTGCATATTGATGGTGTACCGGTGCAAGCGCTCGTTGATACTGGTGCTGCCGTGTCTGTGCTAAGTGGTGAACTGTGCTGCAAGTTGAAGACGCTTACACTGCCACTTTCTGATGTCTCTCTCCGCACGGCCACTGCGCATCACATCCAACCTTCTACGGCGTGCACAGCTCGACTGGTCATCCAAAATATTTTGTATGTAGTCGAATTAGTTGTGTTTTCCCCATGTTCGCATGTTATCATCT